TAGACCAACCAAAGTTGACATGTGCATTGATTTGGTCAAAGCGGGGCAGAGGCAAGATATATCAATCCAAATGGCTGGTATTTAAAACAAACGGATAAATTACAACAATTTAACCAAGTTTGACAAACGGAATGATAAAGTTGTACAATGACATTTATGGATACATCTGAGATTGATATTGAATGTATTGTTTCTAAACTAATATGTCTTCTCTTTCTTTTCAGTCGGACGTTAATGATAGCGTGTATATCTCCGTCTGATCGTGACTTTATAGAGACACTTAATTCACTTAAATATGCCAATAGGGCACGCAATATAAAGAACAAAGTGATAGCTAACCAAGACAAGGCCAGTAAACAGTTGGCCGCACTTCGCTCAGAGATAACACTACTACAGCAGGAACTGATCGACTACAAAACGGTGAGTCGGGGGCGGGATACAGTGTATCATAGTGGGGCAAAATATTGAGCAGGAGACACAAGGCTTTGTGGGGGTTCTTCTGCTCAATATTTTATCCTGAAAGTTTGAACGACCATTAAAACAGCTGTTCTTCCAGTAAAGTTGTTAACTGTCCGCGCATTTCTCATTTGCATATGAAGCCTGAATGGCATTTGTTAATGATGTCAAATGACCCTGACGGACTAAAAATATCATAAACATGAACAATAGCGTGACCCTGAAAGGTCACTCTAATTCCCTCGCCAGTCTGCGCATGTAAGCGATCAAGATCTGTGGGTCGAATATAATTTTCCAGCACTGTCAGAAATGTGGATATCTCTGTCTGGTTTGCAAGAAATGTCCGTACACCATTCGCTTTTACAAGAATTGAGGTTAAGGGACGGAAAAGGAGTAGGACCAGGTTTAACTGAACTTAGAAAGTTGAATACCAATCCCACTGAAATAGTTGATTCTGAATCCAGACCAGTGGGAGTACCAGCAGTACTGATTTTGTAACAGGTTGAATACCACGATAATGCAAACATTATCTCCTCGTACAGTCAGATTTGAGTTCAATGAATTACACTGTATGCATTTTAACATAAGCTTTTGTTACATCAGGTCATCCCAGAAAACATGTTATAATAACAGGTAAATGTGTGATGACTTCGTGGAGATTTAAATTTTGGACGTCATTTTCCACAGGGTAAACGAGCAGTGGACGCCGATGGTGTGGAAAGTGTAAATGACATGTTTCACGAAAATTCAATGTTGCAACACGAAAACGAGAAGTTAATGCTACGAATTAAAGCTCTGAATGAAGCTAACGAAACACTAAAGGAGAGGAACACCCAACTACTAAGGGAGAGGGAGACTCTCGGCATCCTCAACATAGCAGGTAAACTATAAATGGTGATAACAAACAGGTATTACCTACTGGTCAGCTAGAGACACCTGAGTTCCTCAATATAATGGATACCAGGGGCCTGTTTGTTTATGTGGAACAACCGGTACAACCGTTTTTAAATGAAACATTTTTGGGTATTAATCTCTGGCGGACCTGCAAATGTTTATGTAGGCCTTGCAAGGCATGGTCAAGGCTCGCCTGAAAGCAGCATCAG